AAGTCATGGAGGGCTTCATAAAAGATGGTGGGCGAGTTCTTAAATCCTTGTGGCAACCGTGTCCATGTGAACTGTCCCTTAATTCCTCTTTCGGGGTCCACCCACTCGAAGGCAAACAGATTCTGGCTTTTTGGGGCCAAGGGCAAGCTGAAGAAAGCATCTTTTAGATTCAGGACTGTATACCATTGGCGCTCAGGAGGTAAAGAGCTGAGGAGGGTGTATGGGTTCGGGACCGTTGGATATATGTCCATAGTCCGCTTATTTACCTCTCTCAGGTCCTGAACTGGCCTGTAGTCATTTGATTGTGGATTGGTAACAATGGGGTGTTCCAGGCTGATTGGCAAGGCTGTAACACACCCAATTCCAGTAGACGCCAGATATGGGGGGGGGGGTAATTTCCATTCTGGCCTCTAAAGGCAAGGGGTATTGTCTAACCCTAGCTGGATGGGCTCCTGTTTTTTTTTTTTTTTGGTGGGGGGAGTCTGGTCGTGGGGCCTGAACTCTGGGCCTGGGCGCTATCTCTCAGCTCTTCAGCTCAAGGCTAGCGCTCTACCACTTGAGCCCCAGCGCCACTTCCGGCTTTTTTCTTTTTGCTTATGTGGTGCTGAGGAATCGAACCCAGGGCCTCATGCATGCAAGGTAAGCACTCTACCACTGAGCCAACTTCCCAGCCCCTGGGCTTCAGTTATTAACTCTTATGTACACCGCTGGTCTGTGCCTGGCTAGTCCCATTCCTCCAGTTTCCGCCCAGGCCTCAGGGAAAGCCTGTAGCCAATAGTCTATGTCGCCATCTGGTGGTGGCAGGTGCTGGTGCAGACGATACTGGTCTTCCAGACTAAGGGTGAGGACCTGGAGGGGACAGCCCGGTGGATTCAGAACTGAAGTCCTGCCCAGCCGGAAGTGAATTTGAGCTCCAATTTTGGAGCGCCAAGTCTGGCCCCAATAGGGGGTAGGAGCCCTCTGGGCTGACCAAGGACGAGTGGGATCCGCGGCCCACGCCTAGGTTCACTGTGCTTCGGGTAGTCCATGAGTATTGGTTCGTCCCGGTAGCGCCCTGCACCCAGGAAGGTTTTTCCGGTTAGCTGGCCCCAGGGCTCGAGTAGAACGGATTGTTGAGCCTCGGTATCCACTAAGAAATCTACTGGGATCCCCTCCCCTCTGAGAGTTACCTGAGCTCGGGGAGGGGGACCGAACCCTGTCCCCCATAGTCGCTGAGTTCCGCCCCAGTGACTAACACTCGCGGGGACTGTGATCAGACCCAGGAGTCTTGCACCTTGATTTCCAGTGTCCTATTTCTCCGCAGTAAACACACAGGTCTCTTCCGTTCTCCATAGTGCTCCCCGCGATGGCCACCATCTTTACCTTCATCCCTTGCCAGATCTCGCAATGGGCGTCGCCTGCCGCCTGCAGTTCGGGCCGTGGCCGGCGTTTGTCGTGCTCTCTCTGCTGCCCTGGCCCTTCTTTCTGGTGAACTTTTCTCCTTCCATCTGGGTCCTTCGTGTAGCTTTCTCTATGTTCTTAGGCGTCTCAGGATCCATGGAGGTGTACGGCCGAGAAGCCTCCATGAATCTTTCTAAAAAGGCTGCGGGACGTTCCTCACTGCCCTGTAGTACATCTCCTATTTCGGCCAAATTCGTGGAATTGCGAGCTGCTGCCCTGAGACCCGCCATTAGAGTCTGGCGATAGACCCGGAGCCTCACCTTACCTTCGGGTGTGTTGTAGTGCCGGTCAGGGCTGGGGCGCGCGATCAATAACAGGGTCAGTGGCAGGCTGCCCGTCAACCCCCGGAGCGAATCCCCGAGCCTCCGGGCATATTGGGCCTTTCCATTGTATCAATCACTCCTGGCAAAAGGCCAATAATAAAGGACTCGGTTCCCCGTTGCGTCAGGGGGTCCCGTGGGGCGCAGGGCGGGCACCGTGGAAGTGGGATCCGCGGGCCCCTGAGCACTGGCGGGAACCGGCCCGGGCTTCCTCCCTCTCGTCCCAGCCGCGGCTCCCTCGGCTGCTGCTCCCTCAGCCCGCGGCGGGGCCCCCTGGGCGGCCGCGTGGCTCGGAGGTGTCGGAACTGATTTGGGGGCGGGGAGGACCACTCAGGGAAGATGAACTCTTCCTCGGTGCCGCCCTGCAAGATGGGATAGAGAGGCGCCGGAAGTTCGGTTTCCCTGTGCTCGGGTTTGGCGGGCAGGCTTTGGGCCGGGAGACTCTTTGCAGGCCCCTGGCGCGGTAGAGGCTGCAGTAAAAAGGCTTTTATCCAAGGGGGAAGGTTTTCCACAAGGTCCTGCCAAACCTGAACGGATGGGATCTGGCCAGGGCGGCCGTCGCGTTCTGGGGAGAGAACCACATTGGCAACTCTCTGGACGGTGTGAAGATCCAAGGTTGCTCTCTTTTTCACTTCCTTGATGTTTCCCCGCGATCATGGAGAGGGGCGTGGTGGGAGTGGTTCAAGTCTGCCTGTTCCTTACACTAAGATACTTATCACCAAAAAACACAGAAACAAGACGAACACACAAAAAGAGGAAACGGGAAATCCCTCCTGTCCACCGGAGGCGGATCTGAAACCGGGACGCGGGCTCCGGCCAGCCGCGGGCGCGACCTGCTGCGTCTCCGAGCGAGGAGCCCGCGCTCCTGCCCCTCCACAGCCAGGGGCTCGCGCCTCTCCACAATCAGGAGCTTTATGCTCCTCCAGAAAGGCCTGGAACGTCTCCCAGGACCCACAGTCGGCTGGCAACCTAGGTGCGACAGCCTATTCAGAATGACAGATTTCCAGCTCCAGAAACGGAACAGTAATACAACACACAGATAAACACGACACACCGATCAGTGTCCAACACTCGGGTGAGGGGAATCCCGGACGAGCTCCCAGCTGAACACCAGGCCAGGCTGTACACCCTCCCCAAAGACCACCAGGGAGCCGTCGCCGATGTAAATGCGAGAGTCGAGTTGCTCATTACAGCTCGAGCTGGACTCACAAGCCTTCCCTAACACAGCAGGTGGGAGATGGAAGAGCTCTCGTTCAGCAGGGTTTTCACGGTGTATGAAGCAGGGGAAAGGCTCACTTACAACACTGTGATTGGTCGGCGGTTCGCGGGTGAATCTTGTCTTAAGCTCATCGGTTGGGGTATGGTCATCTCCAGTAAAGGCAGGGACTTTCTAGCGTAGCGGCTACAGGATAGGTTAAATCATACATAGCAAGCATATCAATAGGTTGGGGTAAGGGGGGCTAATCACAGGAATGCTGAGGGTGCTATTCCTGAATTATTTCCTGTCCTAAAATGCTTCCTGACAGGGCTGGGAGGTAACCTATCAGGGCGGTCTGATCTTAGTTATTTTTACTGTTACATTTCTTCTTTTTGTCAGTCATGGTGATATGCTTGGACCCGCAACCCCCCCAAAATCCACCAGAGACCAAGAGCAATGTAAGTGACAAAGGAGTCTTCAGCACATTCGGTAACTGGTGAGGCTAAGGGGCCCCAGCATAGAATCAGCAGTTTTTATAGTATTGAAGGAGCAACTTTAAGGTATTTTTACATGAGAAATTACATGATTGGTTGACATTTAAAGCAAGCTAAGCTGGGCAAACACGATTGGTTAACACTGTTATTGACGAGAAATATCTGACTACTGGGTCAGGGTGTCCTGCATGGCTACCCAGTGTCTGACTGATAAATCTGGAGGAAATTCCTGTTTTTTTTTTCAAGGATTGTTTATGTCCCTAGTTGCCTGAGTATTGTTTCTCTTTGTCATTCCCTGGTCTGGTCATGGTCAATTCTTTGACTCATACCTCACAAGATGGTTACTGGCTTATAGATGGAATCACTCAGGCATTAGGCTCTTCAGTGGGACTTGAACTCAGGGCTTGGGCCCTATCCCTCAGCTCTTCAGCTCAAAGTGAGTGCTCTACCACTTGAGCCACAGCACCACTTCCGATTTTCTAGTGCTTTATTGGAGATGTCTCACAGACTTTCCTGCCTGGGCTGGCTTTGAACCATGATCCTCCTGAGTAGCTCGGATTATAGGTGTGAGCCACTGGTGCCTGGTTTTTAATAATTTTGACTTTCCCCCCCCCTGCTTATGTGGTGCTAAGGAATCAAACCCAGGGCCTCATGCATGCAAGGCAAGCACTCTACCACTGAGCCAACTTCCCTATTACTACATTTTCTTGGAACATGAACTGACACTCATGTTCCAACAACATAGATGTTTTCCTTAAGTTTCTGAAATCACTGCCAACTTATTTTGGCTTCTCAGTGGTTAATGGAGATGACACTGGCTTTGAACCACAATCCTTTGATCTATAACAGGTGACAGTACACTGGAGCCTGTCCCCCCCCCCAAATGTACTCTGGGATCAGCCTTCATTATCTGCCTCCTACCCTATGAATTATTTAATGCCAGGAACTGGTGGCTCAAGCCTATAATCCTGTCAACTCGGGAAGCTTAGATTTAAGGATCATGGTTCAAAGGCAGACCAGGCTAGAAAGCTCAGGCTAAGGGATAGGGCTAAGAATGTGGCTTAGTGGCAGAGTGCTTGCCTAGCATGCATGAAGCCCTGGGTTTGATTCTTCAGTACCACACAAACAGAAAAAGCCAGAAGTGGTGCTGTGGCTCAAGTAATAGAGTGCTAGCCTTGAGCAAAAGAAGCTTAAGGACAGTGCTCAGACCCTGACTTCAAGTCCTGGTCCTGACACACATGGAAAAGATCCCCAGGGTGGCTCCATACTCACAAGACCATCACAAGAGATTCCTGGTATATAACCTGAAAAGGCCAGATGCTGAACAATTCTGCACAGGGTAGAACTACTATATCTAGAAATGTTTGGAGTAGCCCTTTTATGCAATAGTTCAGTTTCTCACAAGGGCAGCCCTATCATTAAAGTTGTATCAGGAAAAAGGACAGAAGTATTCTAAGGCTCACAAAAGCAGGTTTTCCAAAGCTTCTCACTTCCCACAGTGTCTTCTTCTCCCTTCCCATTGGATCATACAAAGAATAGACAGACAAGAAAAATTTTCCCCCTATTTTTAATGATGGAAACAAAAAGCATCTAAAACCGAAGCTTCTGGAAGAACCACTTGTTCTTGCCGGTCTTATATCTAGAAGGCAAAAAAAAAAAAAAAAAGATACCAATTAAAAACGGAACAGTAGGGGCTGGGAAGGTGGCTCAGTGGTAGAGTGCTTGCCTTGCATGCCTGAGGCCCTGGGTTTGATTCCTCAGCACCATATAAGCAAAAAGAAAAAAGCCAGAAGTGGCGCTGTGGCTCAAGTGGTAAGCGCTAGCCTTGAGCTTAAGAGCTGAGGGACAGCGCCCAGGCCCAGAGTTCAGGCCCCACGACCTGACCCCCCCAAAAAGGAACAGTAAGACAAACTGAAATCTTTTCATGAGAGAATGGTAAAAATGAACCCCAACTTATACAACAAAGCCTACTTACCTCTCCTCAAACTTGACCTTGGCCTCCCGTCGGGCCTTGCGTTTAAGAGCTGGGTCTCTGAAGACATCCTTGTTAACCACAGTTTTGTCCAAGGGGATATCCACAGAGTACCTGGGAAGAGGTAGGATTAGACAGGACTTTACACAGCCAAGTCTTCCTGCCACACTTGGGCAGACAGTCTAATTCTATAGGAGCACACACCAAAAGCAGAGCTGGTATTCTTTGGAAATCCTAATAACTTAAAATACTGGCCCTAAGCTGGGCACTGGTGGCTCATGCCTGTAATCCTAGCTACTCAGGAGACTGAGATCTGAGGATGGCAGGTCAAAGCCAGCCCAGGCAAGAAAAGATGTGAAACTTTTTTTTTTTTTTTGGGGGGGGAGAGGTCCGGTCCTGGGGTGTGAACTTGGGCCTGGGCGCTGTCCCTTAGCTCTTCAGCTCAAGGCTAGCGCTCTACCCACGTGAGCCACAGTGCCATGTCCGGCTTTTTTCTTTTTGCTTATGTGGTGCTGAGGAATTGAACCCAGGGCCTCATGCATGCAAGGCAAGGGCTCTACCACTGAGCCACCTTCCCAGCCCCAGGATGTGAAACTCCAAAAAACCACCATCAAAAAAACCGCAAGTGGTGCTGTGGCTCAGATGGTAGGGTACTCGCCTTGAGCTGAAGTGTTCAGGGACAGCACTCAGGCCCAGAGTTCAAACCCCATGACCGACCAAAACAACAAAAAACCCTGTACAGTGTAAGTACTGAATACTGTGAAAAGACCAGGGCGTTCAAGTGCGCCACAGTTTAAGTTGGAAGGGATACATACCTCTCTCTCTTTTTGTGTGTGCATGCTGTCCTGGGGCTTGGGCTTGGGGCCTGGGAGGTACCCCTGAGCTGCTTCACTCAAGGATAGTGCTCTACTACTTGTGGCTTCTTTGGCAGTTAACTGAATTTAAGAGTTGTAGGGACTTTCTGGCTCAGGAAGTCTTGTATTTGCTAATCAACTGCTTAACCTGAGCCCTTTTACCCCACTGATTATTTTTGAGTCTTGCTTTCTGTTTAGCTATGCACGTGGGTTACAACTTTTGTATTTTTCCATTGTAGCTGGGATGATAAGCACACATCACACCTAGCTACTTCCATTGCGACTAAGTTCTCAAACTTGTCTGCCCAGGCTGGCCTCAAACTGCAATCCTCCAGATCACAGCCTCCTATACAGTCTTCTATAAAGAGGACAAGCACAAGTCACTGGTCCAGCTAAGTATGGGGTTTGAACAAAGGGGCTGACACTTCTTAGGCAAGTGCTCTACCATTTGAACCACACCCTGAGCTCTTCTGCTTTGTTTTTCCAGGTCCCTTAGTTTTTGTTCAGTGTTTGCCCTAACTCTTGGTTGGCTTGCCTCAATTCAAGATCCTCTCCATATCTGCCTCTAGAGTAGGTGGGATTACAGATGTATAAATCACAACACCTGGCTCATTCATCATTTTTGAAAGTTAAAGTGCAGACCAGTCTTCATGCCTTTTTACTATGAAAGAGAAATGTAACAAGTTTTACCTAAAACTAAATTTCTGTTTCTGATCGTAGAACAATTAGAAGGTTTTCTCCTAATGAGGAAGAAACAAAAAGAATCAGCCAGGTGCTGGAGGCTCATGTCTGTAATCCTAGCTACTCAGGAGGCTGAGATCTGAAGACCATGGTTCATAGCCAGCTCAGTCTGTAAAACTCATCTCCAATTAACCACGAGAAAAGCAAAAGTAGCACTGTGGCTCAAAGGGTAGAGTGCTAGCCTTAAGCAAAAGAGCTCAGGGAGAATGCCCAGGCCCTGCCTTCAAGCTCCACTTAGTGGGGGGGAAAAATTATTGAAATGCTCACCTTGTGGGCATAAGGTGATTGTAGTTATAAACCTTCACAAAGGACTTGATCTTTGACCTCTTGGCAATCTTCTTCTTGCCCATGTTAGCTGTCACTTTTCGGGGATAGCGATCAATTCCTGCCACCAAAGCATGGCTGTAGGGACGATCTGAAGTGCCATCATCAATGTTCTAAGAGAACAAGAATTAGTTGTTTTTAACTGGACTTATCTGGACTCTGTGCAAGCCATGTACATAAATGACCCACTCCCAGGTCTCCAAGACTCTATTGTAAAGAGAAAAGGCAGCATAAGGATATGCCAGATCCCCAAAAGTTAACAGGCCACGGTTTATTTTCACCAGAAGGAACCCAGGCCTTCTAGATGTTACAGATTTATACTAAGTATAGGTGCAATCCTGTGTATCTGCTGAGCTTTTGGTATACACCAACTACGAGTTGCCTTCCAAAACCGTAGACAGGCAGTAAATAGCAAAGGGCTAAAATATGCTCACTGATCATTCTGAATAAAAGCAATTTCTGCTGGTTTAACAGACTGTCAGCGGCAGCACCAGTTTTAAGTAAACCACTAAACTCCTCTAAATATATAGGAAGTAAATCTCCTATAGTTACTGCAGGAAGCACGAACGAACTGTAAGGCGTCCAACAAATGCAGTTCCGTGTCTGCCCGCCCTGCCCGCCCGGCCGCTGCAGTGGAGGCCTGCAAGGCTGGTATACCTTCACGATGACGGCTTTACGTCCGGAGTAGCGTCCGGCCAGGACCAGCACCACTTTCCCGGGTTTCATGAACTTGCCCATTTCTGCAAAATACAAGGGAAAAAGGCGGCTCAGGAATCCCTACCGCCAAAGGCTCCGGCCCGCAAGTGTAGGTTTAGAGCCGGAACTGCAGCCTGCTCTCTGCCGTCCTGGCCCAAGCCGCTCGCAGGCTACGCTCACAGGACGGGATCCGCCAAGAAGCCACCAGTGACCTAGAGACTAAACACACCGGGCACCTTAAACCCAGGCCGCGGATGGCGACGGATTGGAAATCGCTCGACTCCCCTTCACTCACCGACAGCACCCAGCAGCCCTACAGCAAAAAGGAAGACAGGGTACTTCCGCTAACCTTTCACCTTGCGGAGGAGTGACCTCACTTCCTGTCCCGCCCCTCGGGCTCACAGCCCTGCTTCACGTTGTAGTTCGGGGCTGGGTGGCGGACCGTAGAAGCTCGCGATAGGAAGGTAAATGAGCCTGGCAGTTCATTTATTTGAATCAAACTTTATTAGCAGCTTTGGTAGTGGAGAGTGTTTGCCAAGCTTGAAGGGATAGCGCATGCGTACTTGCACTTTCGGCTCTGCGGGCCTTTTTAATTGTAGTTCCCTCCTCTGACGCTATGAAGGGGAAACTAGTGTAAAATTTTACTTTTTTTTTTGTCCTGGAAGACGCAGGGAACCAAAGTAAGACCTTTATTGGTGCCTACTGTGTGTATGTGTGCTGCGTACGTGTGTGTGCACACGCATTGTTAGACAAAAATGGGGTTGAGACGGAGATCAAGAAAGGGTACAGGGGCTGGGAAGGTGGCTCAGTGGTAGGGTGCTTGCCTTGCATGCATAAGGCCCTGAGTTCCATTCCTCCGCACTACATAAAAAAGCTGGAAGTGGCGTTATGGCTCAAATGGTAGAGCTCTAGCCTTGAGCTGAAGAGCTGAGGGGCAGTGCCCAGGCCCAGAGTTCGAAACCCATGACTGACCAAAAAAAAACACCCCAAAACATCATATCCATAAAAAAAAAAAAAGGGGTGGGTACTTCCAACATTAGTCTGGTGTCAGATGTCACTGGAATAAGTATGTAGGCAGAGGAGAGTGATAGCTGCTGCTTTAACCCGTGTGGAGCCAGGTTCGTCTATTTACATATACAGGACTGATTTGACCCTCACACCACCACCTGAAGAAACTTGTTTAGTATAGAGTTTAATACCTCCAAAGCAAGGGCTGGGAAGGTGGCTCAGTGGTAGAGCGCTTGTCTAGCATGCATGAGGCCCTGGGTTCGATTCCTCAACACCACGTAAGCAAAAAGAAAAAAGCCAGAAGTGGTGCTATGGCTCAAGTGGCTGAAGAGCTGAGGGTCAGCGCCCAGGCCCAGAGTTCAGGCCCCACGACCGGGCCCAAAAAACACTTCCAAAGCCAGCGGTAAAACTGGGTCTCGGATTCAAGCAGTCCAACTCCTGAGCATCTTCATATTGAGTACATAGTTAGGCAAGATGCTAGGCACTTTAGGTAATTCAACAGCCTGTTAAATCTGAACAACACTGCACTTTGGGTACTTTCCTTCCATTTATACACGAGTAAATTGGGTTGGGAAGGTGGCTCAGTGGTAGAGCACTTGCTTAGCAAAAAAAAAAAAAAA